GTTTCTAAAAGGTTAAAGTATACATTTCAAAACATTTTTAGGGACCATTAAATATATAATATATTATGACAAAAATGTAAGTTACTATACTTACAAATTATAACACAATACCAATATAAACAAACAGACAAATAAAACCAAATAATTTTCATCTGTTAATACAAAGTACAATATACTGAATTATACTTTGTAATTACAGAAACTTGTATTAAAACCGTGAAAAAACTCAAATTATAAAATATAAACCAGCATACGTATAAACATAATTTTTTATTGGACTATAAACTAACTGTACATTATAAAATGAAGACATGTATTATGCGATCATAAGTTGTCAATAAAAATGATTTTTTTTAATAAGAATATAATAAAGGTTTAGTTTTGTTTTCCCCTTGTACAATTTAAATGAAACTTTATAATATTATACAAATATACTTGATGATTTCACTTGAGCAATCATTTTATACGCTGTTGTAAGTATAAAGAAAATATAGACACAAAACGAGTGACAAATATTTAAAATTGCAAAAATAAAACAGGGTAAAGAAAAAAAAGAAAGAAGATATTTATATTACTAAACGATGATGGTATTTTTCTGTTCTTTTAAAATTAAAAATACCAAAACTTTTTATATTATTTGTGAAAATTGTCTTTCGCTTATTTTAAATGTTTATCTTGTGAGTATTAAATAAAAATTGGGATTAAAAATAGTACCCTAAATAGCATTAGTATTTTTAATTCAATGTGATACAAAAAATTAAACAGAATATACACTTGAATATTAAAATGATAAAAGTAAGTAACTTTTCAATTTAAAGGATTGCAATTGTTTTTAAATTATCATTTAACCATTTAATCTTGTAATATTTTATTTAAATTCTGTTCGGACATTTTATGCAGATTTCATGATTTTGAATAATGAGCGTCGATGGATTCATTCAGTATAGTATATATTTAAGAGTTATCATTAAGAGATAAAAAATAAAAAATATAATTTTGTGTTTAAAAATCATTCAGTTAATTGAACAGTTTGAAAAAAAAAACGGAAAAATAATTTAAATTGTGTCAAAAAATTAATTTCAATACATTTTTAAAATTATAACGAATTTATAAATTAAATATTATTTGAGGCAATGTCACTTTAATATATTTTGTTGAGAGGATAGCTTAATTTATTGTAGAAGTATATTATTCCAATATGATTCACTAACTATATAGAATCACTGATTTTACCGCAACCAATTCCATTTTGTGCCAGTAAATTTAGTTTTGTAATAAATAAGTAATAAGTAATATGTATGGTCTGCATTCCTGATGGACATTTTAGATAAACAAAGATTACCAGCAGTTACGGAATTATAATAAATAACTATATGATGGTATTCCGATTATTCTCTAAATGTACGAGTATTTTAGTTATGTTGTTAAGATGTGACAAATTCAAATTAAATAGACAACTTTACCCGCTCAGATACATACTACAATAGTATTTCAAAATATCCCTTAAAACCAACATTTACGTTTATTGTCTCCGACTTAAACTCATATGCATATGCATAATGTATATCCATGACTGTATGGATTCGACTCTAGGGTTGTACAAAAAAAACTAACACAACATTAAAAAGTATTTCGATCAAAAATCCTCAGAATCATAACTAACGCTTCTTCATAGGTTTCAAAATTCAAATTATACAACAGAAATAGAAATAGCCAAATTACACTATTAAAAATTCAGAAATCATCTTAAACATCATATCAACTCCTACATTCAAAACCTTAAACCTAATATCTATTTTTAACCACAAAAATACTTCAAGAAAGCTATAAATAAATATTTACCATAAACCATTATTAACTTACGCTGAAGTGCCATCATCACTGGATTGTTCTTCCTCCACGCCAATATACCCCATTGGCGTTTATCCCAAATATCCATCATTCTATCATAATATAATATATTACATAGTTTTCTAAACTATCATGCACTTAAATCTGATGTCAGATTTCAAAAGCAATGATAGTTTAGAAAATTAAGTAATTTACCTGATTTCAGATACTAATGATTCATCACAATCCTACCCTGTTTGCCTATTGTGTGGTATTGAGTTACGGCGTTAGCTATAGGCAATAAAGTTACACTACAGATCATTTAATAATATTCCTCACATTCTTTGTTTTATCATATTATTTATATCTTACGTTGTAATTTTGAAAGTTTCAATAAAATTAAAATGTACCCATAGTAATCAGTGGTAGTTTTGAAGGGCGGGCGATAGTAGTAACCTCCCTTCACCACCGTGGGATTAATTAAATCCTTTTAAAAAACTTGTTTATTGCAATAATTATTAACAATAACTTATAAAAGTTTTCAAATATAATAATAATTAAACATAAGTACACCTACGCTTGGACAATGCTCAGCAAGGTGATTAAAATTATTTGTTAGTGCTATTTTTTTTCGCCTCCCTATGCATATTTGTCGAAACCACTCCTGATAATAATATAATTATTTTTGGTACTAAATTAATTATGTACAGATTGTTCAACTTTTCATTATTTAAAAAAAAAAAAAAAGATGTATACAATAGTTATTACAATAATAAAAAAAAAATAATAAATTAGAACAGAAACAATTCAAAACTGTATAGTTCATAAAAGTGGTAGCCATTGAGAATAAAAAAATTAACTTTTTTTCATATTTTTAAATGAAAAACCATACACAATTTGTACGTGCATATAATATTCAGAAAATTGTCCTAACACAATTATTTTGTTTTGATTTTGTCATAGCACCAAGTGCTTTTATGTAATATTAATATTTTAAAAGTTTAAATGCGGCGGTTAAAATCAGTTGCAGCTTATGACCTACTCTATTTTATGATAATATACTCTACAGCCCTTACCTAACCAAATAGTATAAAAAATACTTCAACATATGTTTTAAAATACCTACACATTAAATTATAATATTATACCTACATACTATGTTCCATGTACAATATCTTTCATTCATCCTTAGCATAGATACTCTCTTTTTATTGATTTTACTATTTAAAATTAAATCAAAAGTGTATAATATTCCATTTTACAAGTATAGAAACAAAACGCATTGATTAAAATTTATTTTAAATTTCAACATTCTTATTTCAAATTTTCAAATTTCTTTTTTTTTGACATTATAATATTATAATATATTGAAAATGTGATAAATAACTTAAATGGTACACCGTACACAATGGACTAGCAGATATTGGAATTTTTCAGTAGTTATTGTGAAAATTCCGAAATAACTTATACAGTATACCCATTTTTTTAATAAAAAATAAATTTATTTGATTATTTTATTCTATTGTTGAGGAAATAATAATACTATATACTGATATTTTTACTATTCACTATATTTATACTAAACTATCTTTATACTATTCACTGATTAATTATTAACTTTTCATTTTAAAATTGAGAAATATTTTTTAGAAGCTATATTAACCTCTTTCAAACACCTATGTCCTATATACTATCCATATAATATAATCCATAAGAAACCAATATGCTTCCCCCAGCATGTTGTTTATCAAAATATTAGAATATGAAAAGTTTTAATTTTTAGTTTAAATATCGTTAATCTATTTTAGATGCTGTACGGAACGTAAAATTTCTACAATTTCAAATTTCTACATTTTTAACTGTTGAATACACCTGCGACCTACGCCTCGCAGAATGAGGTGAAAGGAAGTGACCAATAAGTTTATTATTATCAACTTATTGTTATAAATTGACATGACGTGTTTTAGTTGTAATCATATGTGGTGATTTCAAACAATAACTAGTTTTTGATATTATTATTAATTAGCTACACCTTTAATATGTATGTAGTCGATAACGCTATATTATACATTAAACACAAAGTTACTATAACCGAAAGGAATTGAATTCAAGCAAAGGTCAACTAGTTGACCAACAATTAAAATATTATAAATATTAATACTAAAAATATTCAAGTTTTCAAGAGGAAAATAAACCAGTCTCCGGAATGCAGCCTATATAGTCAGACTATAGGATGCGTTGAACGCTATTGAAAAATGAAATGGGTCACATCACCAGTAGAGACGAAATGACACTATATTTTTATATGCGTTAAATCATTAAACGTTTTCAAAAAAAGGGGGAGACTGGAGAATTTCTCAGTCTGCTGTACAGAAGGATTCGAGCGTACATCGTCATTGAGTAAGTCACTGTAATGGATGTGTTAAATTCAATTCAATAATAAATCATCTAAAATCGATTCTATGCGATGGCGGACTATCGCCTATATTATCATATAAATGTATATTGCTATTAATTATAATAGTAATTTACTTTACTATTCATTCTAATACAGTATAAATTAAAAATAGGAAACACCATAAAATTAATCTAAATGTTTTTAAAATTATATTGCGTATATAAATTATAAAATATAACAATTTACTTAAAAGTATTATTCCATGTATTATACTTTCTCCTGATTTGAATTTGAATAGTTAATAATATTGACCCCCCCCCACCATTTAAGCTAAGCGGTGCTCGTTTGATTTAATGTACCTATATCTAAAGGCTTAAGATGTGTTCTATATTTTTATGCGATAACATTATAGAAAAAAGATGTGCTTTCGTCATAAGTTTTTATCGATGCGGGAAATTGCAGCTTTATCAATCAATTTATTGCATAATAATAAACTTGTTATACTTAAATACACTGTGTTTAATGTATTTAGTATAATAGTATGCTATACAATTAATCGATTCTACATTAAGGACATTGTAATTGATGAGTAAAAAAAAACCCGCGCCATATAATATTGATACTTCTGTAGGTGATTGGTCCTTATTTTTAATAAAGCCCCACCATTAAAATTTGATTTAAAATTCAGTTCTAAATATTTGGCTCCGGTCTTTGGTAACTTGTATAATTCCCCATGCAAATCATAGGCATTGTTATTAATATTATTCTAATAATGTCTACTGAACATTACACGTTTAACAATGATGACCGATTTTCATATTTTTCGGTGACAACTGACAATATATCATACTCGTATACTAATATACTTATATGCAGCTGTTGCGATTGGCGGATGAGTGATTTTGGAGATTTTATAACGATGGCTGATCTCGTCGAGCTTTTGGTTCCCTATTCAGCCGGTGCTTGCCCTCCGATAAGTGCTATGCCATGTACTGCAGGGAATCCGACCGGCTGAACACACATTACTGCCGCACGGCACATTTTACGATCACACTCTGCAGCAGGTCGTGTGACGTTTTGCCTCGGCAGTGTGTCCGAACCGATTATAATGTCTGTCCGTTCCACTATTTATAAACTATAATAATATATCGAGTTATGACCGGTATCGGTTGGATTGTTGGTTGTGTGAAAAAAAATGTCCATTAATTCCACGTGCGATTTCGTTGACGACCTACCGAATATCTCCCATAGACTATATATTTTAACAGTATAATATAACAGTGAAAGTATACCGGCTAAAGTATATCCTTTCTATATGAGTATATGGCACTGTAAGTCCATATATAGGACGAAGGAGATTTTTTTATAAAATAAGTTTGCTTAGAATATTAATATTAGCCCTGCAGGGTAACGGACTTTGAAGATGAAGTCTACTTAATTATGGGCTTTTTTCGTTTGTCTTTATAGTAGGTAGTAAGGTATAATGAAGTTGTTCAAAGTGATCAACGGATTAGTCTTCGAGGTCATAGTAAAAAGATAACGTGTTAGAACTTTAAGATTCGTTAACTTTGATTCAATATTTTTTTGAACTAAGACATGAGAATTTCGTTATACGATGAATCGAATAGGAGGTTGAATGTTTAGAATATAAATCAAACTGAATATCTGGCAGAAATGTATCCAATCTTTTGGCATAAGCCTTTTCAGTAGTATTTTTTCAAATATTTTAGCTTCATTTTAAAAGAGGAGTTGTGCGTCATAAAACTTCAAATCATTGACCAATTAACTGGTCTAAAGTTGTCGTTATTAAAATATGTAAGTGACACAATTATTTATAGAAAAACTAGAATATTGTCTGACGTTTGGTCGCTTGGTTGCAACTAAAAAATTAATTTTGTATGAAAATTATTTGAAATGTTGGAGAAGAAGAAGTCTAGAATATCAGGGTGGAGGCCGTTGTGAGATATACACTTTGGTATATTTAATTTAGATGAGGTTTTGAAGTTAAAATTCAAAGGCGTTGATTAATGTGAAGCACTATATCAGCTATCTGGTTTTTGGTTAGGTTCAGCTTCTACCACGAAATTATATGATTCAGTGACGTCAAGAATAATATAATAGTTGGTTTTAGAAGAATTGTCGAACAGGGTGAAAGTAGCAGAAGACAACCTTTAACCTTTAAATTATATATAATATATTTTTTCTGAGTACTCTTTTTATAATTTGACGAAATGCATGAATATTTGCCAACAATTTCTAAGCTTGAGTTTGAAACATCATTGTTCCCAACTTGTATTACTTGAACAAATATAGTAAAAATGTAAATTTCAATAATTCTGTTTGTAAATCATTTTCGTTACCTAACTGATCTCGTTGGAAAATCAATAAATCATAGGGTTGGAAAATGTATTGTTGGGAAAATTGTGTACGAAAAATGAGTAGGTAATTGAACAAACATATCAGAATCATAATATAAAGTACATTACCTACACTCACACATATTTTGTATTTAACACATTGCTTGCAGATAGATCATTCCAACTTATAATATAAAATAAACTTATTTAAACATTAAAAACGTGAATTCTATGAACACTAAAGCAAATCCACTCTAACTGTAATTATCGTTAGTAGGTATGACTTTAAGAATATTTGCATTCTAAAATTTGAATTATTACCATTATTTAACTCCTTAAGAGTTTAAGATATTTATTGATATTTATTTTTTATATTTATTACTTAATACTTTTCTAGAAGAAAAATGGCCCCACTGAACATGTTTAATGTTTATATAAAGGACAATAATATAATTTTATATTTAAGTTTAACTACTTACTATAAGAAATACGTTAAAAACTTGAAACGATTACAACTCCATAACTTGTTGAAAGAAAAAAAAAGTGGAAAATATATTCTTTGCTGTAACGGAAATATTTCCAATTACTAAAAATATAATTTATTATAAACAGTTAATTAAACAATGGAAACATTTCACGGTCCTAAGGGTCAATTGACAGCACATGGGGGTGACGTCCACGCAATGATAAAATGCAGTGTCGTTATTTTAAAGTAATAATTTACCGGCACCGTCTACCAGCTGTCACATTCGATTAAACAGAGTTGGACATCTAACTTTATTCTAAAATTACGTTATTATGATATCAAACTAAATGGATCTATTGGGCCAATAACCAGAACGTATAGGACTATTACGGCAAGACCTTTACAATAATTTATACTGACTAGTGACTGTAAACTTAAACTGTATGATTATTTTGTACTATCAATAGGCATACATTTATAATAATTAGTAAAGATCGATGCTAGAGAATTTGAATTCATGTTTTTAGATAAATAGTCTAAACATGATTATTGATTATACGTAATATCTACTTAATTATCTAAGAAATAATTCATAATTTATAATAATATTATTATAAAGCTGGATTTGAGTAATTGCGAGTTATTTATTAACTGATAAATCAGTTAAATCTATAATTGTCCAGGAATTTAACATAAAAGTAAAAATAAATGCAATTTGCTAGTACACGAAGTAAATAAGTTATCTTCGGACGTTAGAAATAAGCTATACTTGTAATAGAAGTTACTTTAAACTTTAAAGTCTACAAAATAAGTGTCTCCCTACAAACCGATTAATTTTAGTAAGTGCCTATCATTAATCATGCAAGAATAGTTATGAATATTATAATATAATATTATATAGTAATAAAACAAAAACCAAAATCTTAAAAGATTAATGAGCTATAGAATAATATGGTATTGTTAAAAGATAACGTGAAACATATTTTTGTTTTTTCCATCATCACAATAGGTATACACTTTTATTGAAACTTCAATATTTTATTAGCCATTAAGTTACTTATCTTAAAATGATATTAAATATTAATGTTAAGTTAGTGAAAATCATCCATAATTATTATTTGATGAACATTTTTGAATTTTCATGTACTAAATTAATTATACTTTCCTTTGCTACAGTTTTTAATACAACCTTTATTTTAACAATAATTCAGAGGGATTAATTTTTATTATAGGTATATATATTTAGACATAGGTAAACCGTAAACCAATAACCATATTATAATAAATATATTATATATGCACTTGTTTTTTAAATCATAAATGCACAAATCATTTTTATGATATTTATAATATTGTCCCAAGATATTGTTATATTTGTTTATAGAGCCAAGGGAAAATGAAGTGATTACTAAAAATGTATAATCCAGGAAAAAAATATTCATATTACATGGTTAACAACTATAGTTACTTTTCCATTAATTTGATTAAATGTTATCGTACGTTTGACGTTCTGGATAAGATTTAATGAATTTTGTTTGGGAAACTTTCACCTTAGACATGGCAAGCACCTATATTTAATTTTCCAAATGCATCTTTTCAAATGTACCTACAACATTTTCAAGATACCCATACTGATTATTTTTATCATTGAATTTTCGTTAAAAGTATAACCATCGGTAGATTACTTTTACTTTTCATTGTGCCCTTATTTTGATACCAATGTATAAATAATAATTTTCAAGTAATCAAAATCTTGGACTTTTGTTAAACTTATACCAAAATAATATTTTGTGATTATCATCACATAATAGTTATCACTTTTACGTTTGCACATTTAAAGTTATACTCAACCGTTATGCATCACTTTTATCTTACGAAGGCATAATAAATAGTTGAAACATCTGAAATACTGTTTAAAAAACATTTTCACTCTTTTGGCAAGTTTAAAGTATACAACATATATAAAGTAGGTTATATACTTATTGCATAAAATACAATAAACACATAATAAACATCATATAAGTTTTAAAATATAATGTTAAAATGTAGGTACTATATCTACCTTAATGACTTTTATTTTATTTTATTTACAATCTATGTTTATGTAATACAAATTACAATAAGCAAATTAGATAAAAAAAAAAAATTGCAAGAATAAGTACCATTGGTGGCACCCCGGGCTTTAGAACTTGAATTTAGAATCCTATGATACTTTTATAATAGGTACTCTATTTTTATTAAGACATTTTTTAAAAGTTTGAATTAAAATTGTATTTATTAAAATATTCAAACGCGAGGTTTAAAATAGTTAATTTCTAGTAATTAGAACCTAATATAATATATAATATTAAACTAATAAGATATAATTTAAGGTTGCAGATTCTACGTTGCATTTTTACGTTTAATTAATTTTTATAATGTATCGTTTTATATAATAAAATGTATTTTATAAACGTCCATATGTTAGTACCTATGTAGTTTTTCGCAAGTACAATTTTCTCCAATAAAATATAATTTAATAATTTAATGTTCCGGGTTCGAAGACCAACAGAAAATAAAAATAATATTCCGGTACCTACAATAATATTATCCTGTGATAAAACTGTATACAAATTTTAATTTTTTAATTTATTTATTGCCGGATCGCACTGACACACGTGTATACAGCCCGAATCAGCCACTGTGTACTGAAAATTGAAGTAATTCTATTTCAAAATGTCGACATTTTAAAAGAGCACATCACATGACAACACACGGGCGCATATTCTTTGCTCTATATCTCACTTTTTCTATAAAATGAATAAATTGTATTTATAAATAAGATCGCCGGTGGGCGTCTGTCTTACTCCATGTTAAATTAGCTTGGGCAGAAAAACGCCGAAACCCATCATATTATAGGTACTATATACGTGAACTACGCACACTTTATAATAAAATATCATACAAATAATACACATTTTCATTTTTTCTGTTTACAGGAAAAATGGAAAACACATAAAGTTATTTTTATTTGCATATCTGTTATTGTATTTTATGTTTTACCAAATAATAATATCATCCAGATCATCAGATGGCGAACAGTAAAATAGCATCCTTTTTTTAAACGGTTTGTTGAGATTTGAAATGAAACAAAAGTACATTATACAAAAAATATTCAATAAAATCTATAATATATCATATCAGAACCTTAGA